TAACTGTAGTCGTTCAGTTTTAAAACATTAAAAAAACACATTACTCTAATGTGATTGAACCATGAAACCGTTTATATGTAGCGTATTATAAGCCTTAGAATATAGCTTGAAGAATAACCCTCAGAACCTAGAGTCAAAACTCTCCGCTTTAATTACAGTAACACACATCTATTAATCTGAAACCCTTGGAACGCAGACACTCGTTTCGGATTTCGAATGGTAGTAACAGACAGATGTACATACCGCTATACATGCATAAGACAGTTCGGTAGCAGGTACAATATGTATGCAGCTAATCGCCAAACACATTAATCATTCGTCGGGTCGAGTTTGTGCGGCCAAACAACGCGAGCTTTGTGTGCAGCACGACTTCCACAGAAAAAACTTTCGGTTTTCGGAGCTTTTCGGTTTTCAGAATTTTGGGTAGTAGATTGTGTACTATATTGCCAGTTTGGTATATGCGCATGTGTCTACAAATGAGCCAAAATCGATTAGATCGTTTTATTAACATGCACAGCTGTGTGAGAATTTTATTTACCTCAAGCATACATGTACCCATTTTGTTGCAAACGGTTTATTGTCTGTAACCTGAATAGCTCATTGAGTAGCCATTAATGATGCAATTAACCTCATGATGTATGGTAACAATAATTTAACAAAATGATTAATCCCCTTAATTCTTTACTCTTCACCCATGCAGCTGGACAAATAGTTGTTAACTCCTTGTTACATGTACTGTAGCCGCCGCACATCGAAAAATGACAGGCGACTCAACGCATTTCCTTGTTACTCGTGTGCCGCGGCTACAGTGAAAAAGTATATACGGGCTCTCTTGCACACAACATGCTGCGACTAGCATATTAATGGTCCAAACAAACTAGAAAATGCGCCCCGTCCTAAAACCAGCGCTAACGCCCCAGAGAAACCAATATACATATAAAAGGGGCGCCAGGCCGAGCAAACTCGCGCGAACAGGCAGTACATAATTCAGAACAACAATAACAATGGGGCACTCTACTCAACAATTATCGCATCCTGGTGCCTGGCGGTAACATGTACACCTGAGCGAAAAGTTGTTGTCAATAGTGTTACCTGTGTAGCTGGGTAAAACATGCATTAACTTAATTCTGATGTAAACTGGTAGTAGTGTTAGTACAAAAATGCATTGACTTCATTCTTGGGTTAAGGTGTAGCGTCTACGTAAAAATGCATTAACTTTATTCTGTTAAGCGTTGTTGTAGTCTTGTGATGAATCCCGTGACAACGGTCGGGGAGCAAGCGGCAGCAGCTGCGTCGACAAGCTTCAGGAGTTTTCCGACAACATCAAAGGCGTTAGCAAGGAGAATGGCGCGAGTGCACAAGGCAAGATGCAGACGTTTGGTGACGAGAGGAGCAGCTCGCCTAACTGAACAGTCTGAGCTGTTCCACCGACGAAGACCCAACAACATGTGGACTACTCATCAATGACCCTGACGTCGCGAGTGGAGGGAGAGAGGAGACGCGAGGGTAGGTGGGAATGGAGGGATGGGAGAGATGATGAAGGTAGTGGGTGGAGGAGAGAGGGAATGCAAGGGTAGGTGGGTTGGAAGCGAAGAGGGATCAAGGTAGAGTGGGAAACTGGAGGGAAGAGGGATGCAAGGGAGGTGGGATCGAGGAGAAGGGAACGCAAGGTAAGGTGGAATGGAAGGGAGAGAGGGATTGCAAGTGTGATGGAGGGAGAGGAATGCAACGGGTAAGGCTGGTTGGACCAGCGGGAGAAGGGATGCAAGGGTAGGTGGGATGGAGGGAGAGAAGGATGCGAGGGTAGGTGGGTTGGAGGGAGAGAGGGATGCAAGGGTAGGTGGGATGGAGGGAGAGAAGGATGCGAGGGTAGGTGGGATGGAGGGAGAGAGGGATGCAAGGGTAGGTGGGATGGAGGGAGAGAGGGATGCAAGGGTAGGTGGGGTGGAGGGAGAGAGGGATGTGAGGGTAGGTGGGTTGGAGGGAGGGAGGGATGCGAGGGTAGGTGGGATGGAGGGAGAGAGGGATGCGAGGGTAGGTGGGGTGGAGGGAGAGAGGGATGCGAGGGTAGGTGGGAGTATAAATGACCCCGGGGTAGTCTAGATGAAGGAAATTAATGAGATATGCCTGAGTTTTACATTTGGGGTAAGGGTAAGATTTACCAGTTGGGTAAAATCGGTGGAATGGTATCTGAAATGTGCTGTACTAAGACAGTATTGAGTGCTCAATTTATATGCATATACAGACAAAAGCAGACAAGGAACTGGAAAAGCTAAATAAGCAGATTCAGGTGAAGAGGGATGAGCTAGATTCTATCATTCCCCTGCACAAAGCCCAGGAGGAACGGGAGCAGAATGCACAAGGATCGTACGTATCGCTGTTCGCCGACCTACGTGTTATCTTCCAATATTCCCAAGTTATGTTTCTTTTATCGTATCATGTGCCTAGAACTCAATCGTGATCTTGTTAGCCTTTATAAATCCCGTACACTTTAAACGTTTCACGGTAATATTTTCAGTGGTATTGGTTAACTGTTGTGGTACATGCTGGTTTGAATGCTAATCTTTGCTGGCTGTGTTCAGGGTATGGTTTTAACTCTCAGCCTTCCTCGTATTGCAGATTGGCCCTGGCTGACCAGCGACGAAAGGAACTGTATGCGAAGCAGGGGCGTGGCAACCAGTTCACGAGCCGCGAAGAGCGTGATGCTTGGATCAAGAATGAACTGCGTTCGCTCAATAGAGCCATCAAGGACAAAGATGAACAGGCAAGTAAACTGCAGCAGCAGCAGAGCACATCCTCAGCTGTAAACTTTCGGTGATACTGCAAACTTGTATATTGCAAGGCAATGCTTTCCATCGCACCTTCTCCTCCACCCTCCCCGCTTACCTGTCAGCTCCCCTCACGCTAATACTGCTGTGTGCAAACATGCGTGTGTACGTGCGTGCTGTGTGTGCGTACGCGCGTGTGTGTGTGTGTGTGTGTGTGTGTGTGCCTGCATGTGCTGTGTTTGTGTGCCTGTTGTGTGTGTGTGTAAGGCGTGCTGCGTGCGTGCGTGCGTGCTGTGTGTGCGCCTGCATGTGCTGTGTTTGTGTGCCTGTTGTGTGTGTGTGTGTGCGTGCGTGTGCGTGGTGTGTGTGCCTGCATGTGCTGTGTTTGTGTGCCTGTTGTGTGTGTGTGCGTGCGTGCATGCTGTGTATGTTGTGTGCGTGTGTGCGACATGTGTCCGTGCGAGGCCGAGTTGCTGTATCCCAACTTTAGCTAAGCAATGTTCGCTGCGTGAACCTGTGATCGTTTTCGAACGCGTCACTTTTGTCGTCGATTGAGTTTATCGTTTCACCGACACAACCTGCTTGTAAACTAACGTGCTGGTCTCCATTACAGATCCGACGATTGAATGAAGACCTGCTGAATGATCAACAGAATGTGGATGAGCTTGAGAGGAAAATGGCTGTAAGTTCACACACGCAGTGAGCGTGGGGAGCGTGCTTCCTTTCTGACATTAACAGGACGACGCTTACATGTATAAAGGGCATGAACTATAAATTTAATTAATGGTGCGCTTTGATTAATAGTGCTAGTGATTTCCACAGTTATGAAAAAGCTTCAAGAATCTCTTTTGATATGTATATGGCTAAGACAGTTGTTGCAAAATAGAAATGCTAATGTGTTTGGAGGGGGGGGGGTTAATGTGTTGATGTTAAATAGTGTTGTAGTGACATGAGTGACAAATACAATCACTGATGCAGTGAAGCTGTTTAAGATTTGGACATTGTTTTAAACTATGGAAACAAGAAGGCTTTTAACATTTCAGTAGCATTTTGTAGTAGCAATTTCAGTAGCATAGCTATTGACTTGGTCACGATGACCATTTATTCTACCCTGTTATAGTTCCTAAATTCTGAACTTCCCTGAATTCCTTCTGCTAGGCTGCTTTGTCACATCTATTGATAAATGGTCACTGATCGAATGTTAGTCGTATTTACAGGACAAAAACTCTTGTCTTGTAAAAAAAACCTCATCCTAGCCAAAGTTAATACTGTTGACCGGTCAGCTTCCCTTGCACTTCCCTCCGCTTCGCTGTCACTCCTGATTTGTCCACGTAGGAACGTCAGCTAGAGCAGCTGAACTTGGCTGAGAAAATTAAAGAGACGACGAACACCTTTTATGAGAATCGGACGAAGCAGGGCCGACTGCAGGACTTGCGAAAGTATGTATGGTGTGGAAGGAGAGAGGTGGGTGCAGCGCTCGCTCCGCCGTGCAAACGTCCTGCGGGCAGGAGTGCAGGCGTTAGTCTGTGACCGTACGGCTGTAGCTTTACTGTCTGTCTCTCACCGGCCGCGCGTTTGTCACACATTCATTTCTAGGAGATGAACCAAGAACTCGAGAATCATCGGGAGAACATTGATAGGCACAACAAGCAGTTTTACACGATGAAAAAGAACAAAGATGCGTTACAGAATGAGAGGAAGTATGTAGAGCGAGGCGTCGTAGTGGTAGCGGGCATGGTCTTCAATGCTAGATGTAGCACCAAGTCTAGGGCATGGTGGCGGTCTTGTCTGCTTTTCTGCACAGCCATTTGGATGTAATTTTGCACACGCTTTCGGAGTGATGTATGTTGTTTGTGTGAGTTTGACAGTGTTTGAGTGTGCGCATGTGTGATTGGCCATATGTGTCGTGTTGTGTTAGGCTCTGCTCGACGTGATGCGGCCATGATGCCGAGGCGCGCCGAGGATTGACACTTTGTGTCTTCCAATCACAGCCTACGCCGCACCTCTCTATTATATTTTTATAGGTGGGGACCCATTGGACCATCAAATCGCCGATCTCAGGAACTAGGGCATTCTGCTATGTTAGAACGGTTTCCTACGATAGAGTTTGCCACAAATACGAAAATAACACGCTGTTTAGCGCACTGTGCTACGTCTTTCTGTTGCATTTTCGCATCTCCGTAATCTGAATAAGCCCCGCCTTCTTCGTTGATGGACATGAATGGGGCGTCACCGACGTGACCAGTTACTCACTGTACCTACTGTCTTTCGCCAGCCTGTATACTTTTCGTAGATAATTAAATGCCCGACCGATGCATTTTGCATCGAAGTGGAAAATTTTCGGCATTTTCACTCGCTGTCGGAAGTGAACGAGTGCGTCATTCATTGAACCTTGAAGTTTTTCTTCAAATTAAATAATTCCGAAAATCCCTAACCGCGCTACTCGATTCTTTTAGCCAATTAACGTAGCTGTGTGTGTGACGTCTTGCCCGCGCGCTTTATGCTAGGCTTAGCGGGCCTCGAAATGGCTCGACATGGATCTAATCGGAGAGCACGACAAACCTCGCAACACGTGTGTTTTGTTTACACAATCAAGTCTGCGAAATATAAGCCAGCTGGCACACGGTATCCGGAGGGGGGGGCGGGCCAACGTTTAACAATTTTTTTTTTATTCCGCGGTGGTGGCAGCCTATACATGGGGCAACCTGAAATGGAACAATAAAGCACCCGATGGGACCAGTGGAAAAAAATTTGAGGTAAAGTGGCTCGTATTAATGATATTCTTCAGCTTCATTAATATGATTGGAATCAGTCTGAGAATTTACCCCGGAAATTCTCAGGATATGTTTGTATGAAAATTTACCGAATTTACCGATTAGGCAATATATTCCCAAAGATCTTAAGTAGGGGAAGGCTAACTAGACAACACCTATGGCGTGTTTTGACTCGCGCTAGAGGTCGCCAACAGACTTCCTGTTTCCCGGTCGCGAGTTCGGTTTTCTTTTTCATAATATGATGATCATTGATTCGGGCCTGTAAAACCTAGTGTGGGCCAGTGACCTTAAACATTTTCTACATGGCCCGCTGGGCCAATGAGGGTGGAAAGTTTTTCATCTGCAGACGCTGTGACATTATAACTTTGTGACGTCAGGATGGGCAGTGTCGGGAGTTACTGCGATGAACTAGCGTCTAATTTCTCAGCATTTCTTAAGGGTGAGTGGAACATTTTAAACAAATTTAGTGGTTGATCAGTTAGTCGTGGCTATGTCACGAGGTAAGTACTAACCGATATGTTTCACATACGTTCAACTCATTTTCCACTCACAGGTTGGTCGGATCATTGTGTAAAAATGTGTGAAAGATTTTATTTTTCTATTTGAGATGTTCCAAGTGGCCTGTGGCTTAGTCATCAGTCTGTGTAGCGTCAACTGCACGCGTGCGTCCAAGAGCCAATAAACTCAACACAATTTCATCTCTGTTATTGTTTACTGCCCTGAAGATGTGTGTAATTGATCAGGGAGAGGGTGCATGTAAGAGAGGAGAGATTTTCTTTGGGCGTTCCGAAAAATCACAAATTCCACTTTGACAAATAATTATTTACTGGGCCATTTCGATGGAAGCTGCTGGCATAATGGACCGCCCAACAAGCCCTTTACTGAGCTACCGTCAAGAGAATTCATAAGAGTCTGTATATTGGGCTCTTATTGGTTAGCCGCCGATAGTTCTTATTTAGAACTAAAGTCTGTCATTGTTAGTCCTTAAAAACTTACAGGACCATCGCTCGCTGCTGCCGTCTGTGTAGATACGTGCGCCGGCCTCAATTTGGCCGCACGTCTCCACTGCGGACAGCGTTCATACTTGAACATCCCCAGCGGTCGCGTGCGCAGCTATTCCAGCGGACTGCGCGTCTCATCCGCCGCGCGAGCTGCCATCCAGGAATCACGACCGCCAAAGCTGCTGCCACGCAATCTTCGTATGCATGTCCTCTAGTTTTGTGCTGTCCGTGCTTAGTGTGGGGATCTGTGCGTGTGTTAATGAATGACGTTTACCTGGGTCGTGGTGAGTTACCAAGTATCAAGACTTGGCAATTCGGTATGGTTTAGCGTCTAACATGGTAAAAATTCTATGCGTTACTAATAGGTCACCTCGTTTGCTTGGCAATAGTGGTTTGCAGTCTACATATTAGTGCATTACAGGTTGGAAGATATTCCCTAAGTCTAGTTGTGGGTAACGCTAGGGTATATGTGACATGATGTATGTATGGAGCATTAAGCCACAAGTAATCATGTACTAATCCTGTTACTTCTGCTACTTTCACGATCACTCTGTAATGAGTTGTGCACCTATCCTCTACTTGAATATCCACATTCATTATATTTTTTAGACCACTGTTTTGTGTGCTGAGTGCTTGGGGCAATATTCCGAATTATCCTGCTGGAGAATTTTATTCTGGCTAATTGACTTCATTACAGTTATATTAGCAAGTAACATATTATGTTGATGGTTTGTAGTTGTTCCACGATAATGCATTAAAACTCACCTAATCTCGGTGCAGTGAAGATTTGACGAAATATTTGTCGTGTATCTTTCGAGATATAGTAATTATAATTACGTAATAAAGTCGTTGCTGGTCTCTCACATTGGTTGTTATTACGCATGACAAAATACAAATTACGTAGTGACATCGCTAAACTTCAGATATTATGTATCGATATCGATTAATTATGCGTATTAGATTTTATAGTACACTGTAACTTGCAGGTATAGTGTAACAAATTTCAAATCGAAATTCTGACCAATACTCCCGTGTTGTGCGCTCTCGATTCATGGTCGTGGTTATTTCACGCACGCGCAGTTTTTCAGTGAAGCTTGTGGCGGCCAAGAGGAGATGCGAGATGGCGCAGCAGGTGCCGGCGATCCCGAGCTGCGACCAGACGCCGGGCGAGCGGCCCCACACCCGCCCGCCAAGCCTAGGTGCGGAATCGGGGCACGTGAGCCAGGTAGGCCCGCCTTGGTGCGGGTTCCAAAATCACGGCAAGGTGACCGACGTGTAACCGTCCTAAAAAAGATAGTTCACAACACGTTTATCCGAGGCCCCGCGTTATCTATGTTGGATAGAGGCTGTCACACAACAAGTAACCAATCCGACGTGTTCCAGCAATCCCGCCTCTTCTCCATGGCTGCTAGCCACGCTTTATATGTCTTCACGCCATGTGGAGTGTAACCATGGGCCAGGGCTGGTGATCACGAGCAGTAGTGTAGGACGACGAGTGCGTGGCGCTATTTAGAAACGATAGCTAAGTTATGTTAATACGTCTAACGAGAATGTTTGCAATGTGTGGCTTGGTCGTATCGACCCATAACTTCCCTAAGGGCTTTCTAAGCCGTACG